GAAACTGCTGAACGGACGTCGGTCAAATTTCATGCTGGGGGAACGAGACTCCAGACCTTCGCGGTCCTTCTATTTTATGTTCATAATGAAGCTGCCACTTATCCTTGACAATGTACTACATGCAATAAAACAACAAACTCTGTGGTCTTAGTCCGCAAACGAACTATACCGGCCGAGCGACCGCCGCTTGTCGGCGAAGTTAGTGCCGACTTCAGCGGATAGGGGGGTGTCGCGTGGTCAGCGCAACAGATCCCCACGGCCGTTAATCTCGGTTTTCTAGACCGGAGCAGCTATTTCCTTGAAATAGCTCCTCAATTAATCTCACGAGGCTGAGTGGACCCAGTTTCAGACCCACTACTTCTCAGAAAATCTGGTAGCGCCTAGAATCGAATCCGGGACATCTGTATCTGTAGCCAAGAACTGTGACTAGTAGACCGCAGAGGCGGTCATATACATACAGTAGAGAATCACAGTTTATTTGATGGTCGTATGAAGGGCTTCGAACATTCCACCTCAATGGCTGTACTTCTGTCTAGTCAGTAGCTACCATTTTTCCTATAATGTACGCAATGTTGTCGGTATATAACAATAAAAATTATATGCCTGATAACATCAGCAAACAAATTCTCCACAATCACCTGTCAGTAAACTGATCAACTAAGAGGGGAGTTTTATAAGCAGACTCGGCCAAGATTCATGCACAGCCAGAACTCGGCGGACACCATAAAGTAATAAAACATATGGGGCACTATGCTACAAGCCAGGTCATGGGTTCAAGTCCCGATGAGGTCATTGGATTTTTTTTTAATTGACCTTATCCTTCCAGCCGCACTATGGCCCTGGAGTCGACTCAGCCTCTAAACTGGTACCAGGAATATTCTTGGGGGTAAAGGCTGCCGGCGCGTAGGGCTGACAACCTTGTCGCCATCTATGAGCCGATTGTCTAGAAAATGTGGAAACCTCAGCATTTCACAACCCTATGGGCCTCCACGGCATGTTACAGGGATACATTTACTTGTTTTTATGGGTCCGAAAACGCAGTGAATATAAATTTTTCCTCCTTCATAACACTGTTCACATCTATAGGCCTACTGTTCTGTATAGTCTTACGCATTCAAAGGAGTCCTCCAGAAATTTAGGAAGGAAGACAAATATTGCATACGGGTCCAGTCCTAGACCGCGAGGATCAAGTAGTCACGACAATTTTGATTCATATATTCAGACATCATCCCCAGGACAGGCTATTCAAACTGGTCTTTTGTGGTTTTCTTCAGTCTATCTAGGAAAATTGCGGTGTACTGCCTCAAATTAGTCTAGGATTGCTGTTTCTTATAACTTTTCCAATTAATTCTTCAGTAATTGTTCCACCATTCGACGCTATATAGTCCGAGATACTTACAGAACTTTTAAAATGAATTACAAATATACTAAAAAATAAATACACAGCGAAGAATCACGCTGGTCGCTGCCCGGAAAACTGAAAGAGTAATTCCCCTGATACCGACTGTTAGTACAGCGATACTGTATTGCAGAGGAAAGAGCCTCTGAAAGTAAGTGACTTTGCTTTAATGTGAAATTTATAAACCTAAATGGAAATGCAATTTTATATTTTGCGGGTAAACTGCTAGCATTGAGTTTACTAACGCACACTGTTTAATGGAATCACAATTGAAATAAAGACGTCTTAAAGAAGTCCCGTTAAATCCACTTTCGCATTCCAGATGCTAGAAATAGCGAACGAAGAATAAATATTTGATCGCCAGATATAAATCTTGATTGTTGCAAAAACTCGGAAAGAGGGCTCTGAATTCATGAAGCTAAGGTTTTCTTTGTGGGTACTGCGTCATTTCGGCAGTTTTGGGGGGGGGGACAGAACATGAACTGAAATGAATGTAAGTGAATAACTAAAACTGGAGAAAATGTTCATTCGCGATGCAACCGTGCTCTTGGTTTCCTTATCTGAAATAAGATTTTTTTCTCGTCTCACAACCCTACGGTCCTCCAGGACCTGTTACAGGATACGTTATAAGTGCGATTTTTAAGAGAATGCCTATATTAAATTCGCCCAGTTTATTCGAGTCTGTTTATTTCCTTCATTCATTTATTCATCAATGGCTCTACAACCATTTTGTTGGGCCTTGGTCGCTTTTTCAGTTTCTTAATCATATACACAGACGGTAGGACTCCTTGGACGGGGGATCAGCCCGTCGCAATATCGCTAACTACACATAGGACAACACAAACAGAATAAACGCACACAGACATCCGTGCCTTGAGTGGGATTCGAACCCAAGATTCCAGCGTTCGAGCAAGCGAAGACGGTTCATGCTTAAGTCGGGTATCGATTGCGCGCGGCTGCCGCGCGAGGAAATCTTCGTTGCTTTGCCTCGCAAAGTCGATACCATGTTTCCGCGCGCGGCAGAACGAACACTGCCGCGCTCGAACGTGGCGTGTCGAGCCAAATCGGAGCGGTTCTTTGTCCCGCGGCAAAGGGATTTCAATGTGATGTGCTCTTTCAGTTGAGGCGGTCTTATGGCGTTCCGGTGTTTCTTTCGCGGAAAAATGTAGAATGAAAGTGTCTAGCTCTCATACTACAGCTTCATTCAAAAAGTGCTAATTACCTTAACAATTTTTTTTTTCATTCTGCTCAGTCACATTAACAATATCATAAGAGGTTAAAGAGTTCCGTCCAGTGTGACTGGTAAAGATTTTTCTTATTTCAATCCTTCATCCTTTACATGTTTCGGTCTTCACAGACCATCCTCAGAGGGACATCAATACAATCGGAAGCCACTATTACAATAAGTTTTTGAATGCTAAAATATATACATATAATGTTGATGAAATACAATGGATATAAAACTAATGTTTTAACAACTACAGCGGCTGTCTTAATATGTTAAAATATTTACAATTAGTTTGTTAAGATTTTTGTTGGAAATTATAAACTACCGTATTTACGCATGTATAGGCCGCACATTTTTTGCCAAAAATTCAAGAGTAAAACTGGGGTGCGGCTTATATTCGAAATATTCGAAATCACACTTCATTAAAAAAAATTATATTCATAATTAGTAATACAGGGTGTAATACTCCTGAAATAATATTCCAAAAAAATTATTTTTTCTATAATTTCTGTCTGAAAATTGTGCTGCGGCCTATACATGCGTAAATACGGTAAGTTGGTTCGTGTCCTTTTTATTATTTCTTCTCTTGGAGGTGGCCAAACGTGTACCGCCCTGTAGTTCATCAGGTTCCAAGGAATAATCCATCATGACATTTTTGTGACTGAATTAATGTGCAGTGACATGAACCTCATTAATCTTAATGATGTGGGTAAGATAAGTTCAGTTTCTTATGAAATGTGAAGACACATGTGAATAGAATATGTGGGAGGAGAGGGGACAGTGGCCTACAGATTGGTGTCATCAGCACAGACAGAAGTCTATAAATCGTTAACAATTTAGAGACCAGAAGCGAAATTATTACAGTCTGGCAAAATTTTATAAATTTTTTTATTTGTCTTTATGAAAACTTCAGTCCTTCCAGAAGGATAATCATTTGACATCTTCCTCCCCATTCTTCCCAATTAATCATACATAATCATTTATCATGTTATTACACATTAAACAACCTTCATAGTTGATACAGTGTCATTAATGACCTACAGTTATATTCTTTATGCTCAATGATCTGTCTGGTTATGGGGTTTTTATCGGCTCGAGCATTCCACTGGGGCGTTCAACTGTAGAAGTAACAAAACAAATAATAACCATTCACATAATAATAAGGATAATAATTACATTTAATCAGACACAGTGTAAACCATACAATTTATGACAGTGACATGGTCTAAACTCAGCTGACCCCAAGCCTTGTAAACAACTTGTAATACTTTACTTCTTACGTCCAAATCACCTTTGAAGTTTACGATTTATTTCCATCGTTTGGTATTTTCTCTAGAGACGATGACTGGGCTGATAAGACAAATAGGAAACAACATAGATGGACTTTATGACCACCTCCTACCAAACAGTACACTTGTAAGAATAGGGATCACGACTGTTACTATGAAAAGGTCCAGATATTCATTTCAGTTCTGTTTTGGCCTCCCTATATGCATGAGAATTGTATTATGTAGCCTGAAGTAAGTTACTTTAAACAGCCTCTATATTATATTTAAGCATCCTGTTGCAATATACACTTCTATATGTAATAATAGAAATGCCGTCGTGAATGCAACAATTTATTTGGTTGTAGTTCTTTGTCTTTTCTTCCTCTACACTACATGTTTCGGCCGTAATTGGCCATCATCAGGTGTATTTTTCACTATGTAGCTGTCACACTGCACAGAGTCCAAAATTTAAAACATTAGCCTGTGGGCAAAAGTATTAAAAATGAGCAGAGACACACACACGGGGAGCCTGCACAGAATAATACATGAACGGCGCTGAAAACAAGAAACAGCCGCTNTGTACCTTGAGTCATGAGGTGGGAGTGTTACCCCTAGACTATGGAGGCTGCTTGGAACATAGGATAGTAATATGAATATTTGTGTATTACAGATAATACATGAACGGTGCTGAAAACAAGAAATAGCCGCTGCAGCACAAGTAGACAAGAGCAGGTGTCCCTGGTACTTAAAATATTTAAAATTTTAAATTTTAGAAATTTTAAATTTTAAACTGGAATTCTGAAATCAAATTGACGAACATGTGTTGGCGAGATTTTAAATAAAACTGACAGGCTGATGTTTTAGATTTTGGACTGTGTGCAGTGTGACATCTACACAGTGGAAAATACACCTGACGATGGCCAATTACGCCGAAACATGTAGTGTAGAGGAAGAAAAGACAAAGATCTACAACCAAATAAATTGTTGCATTCACGACGGATTTGTATTACTACATATAGAAGTAGAATGTAAGATATTTTTACTGTTACTAATATCCTCGACGTTTTCATCATTTCCTTATCCAAAAGTTTGTGTTTCATTTCAGATGGTGCTTGACAATGTCAAACTCTGCTTAAGTGAAGATCGTCCATCTGCCAACATAACTTCACCTGGACCAATTCCTATAAACTTAGAGGTATCAGAATTGGTCATCAGCAGAGGCTTAGATGGCATATTCCACATAGAACCACCAGGTGATTTAACTAGAAAGTATATTTGTTCCTATCATGTGAGAATTGACATTCTTGTGGTGGCAGTTACACCATTTCAGAGGGACTTGCTGCCTATATCTTCAGGGTAGAAGAGGAGAGGTGTTTTTGGCTCTGAAGGTGGAAGCAGCAGATCCCTTCAAGACATTAGTAATTATCTACCAGTCTACACAGTGTCACATCCCAGAAAACAGTAATCCTTATAAATCTTATTTGCCACAGTGTGTTGAAGGTAATGCTCTACGAGAAATGAACCCATGCAGTAAGGTAAAGGTAAGGCTATCCCTGTAACAGGCTGTGAAGGCTCATAGTGTTGTGAGACATTGAGGTTTGGACATTTTCTATACATTTAGCTCACAGATGGCAGTAAGGTTGTCATGTCTTACACACCAGCTGACCTTTATCCCCTAGGAAGATTGCTGGTACTCATTTCTGTTAAGAGACTGAGTTGACCCCAGGCCCATAGTGCAGCTGGAAGGATTAGATCAATTGAAACAATTCAGTGGCCTCATCAGGAATTGAGACTATGACCTACTGGCTTGTAGCATAGTGAGGCATAGATGACTAATTTTGTAGTTGTATTACTCTCAGTTGCTTTGGTGTGAATATGCTTTAAACAGTGTTTATGTTTCTATACAGTAGAAGCTGTTCGGCATCCTAGGGAGCTGTTTAATTCTGTTGGGGTTCTAAGTGAGAGTGCTCTTCGACATTTAGCATCTCTGGAACATTCAAACAAACAACTGCAAGCTGAAAATGCTGAACTGAAACGGAGGTTGGCAGCATTAGAGAGAGTATCAAAGGAAAACCATACTCTGCGTCAGTCAACAGAGGAGAGTCAGGTTAGTGGTACTATAACAGACTACAAGCTTAGTTGTATATGATGGACCTAACAGAGTGGTACATCATAGTCTGGTGGTAAGTATTCTGGCTTCATATCTGGAAGATTCCAGGTTCAGTTCTTTTCTTGAAAACCCACTCTCTTGACATGTATTTGTAGTATTCTTCAGTCTCTCCAGATAATTTTTAACACTTTGCGGACCGGCAATTTAAATATTTAAATCTCCCTGAGGACCGGCATTTTTAAACCTACTACCCTAACTTGTGCACTGTTCACTTTAAAAATTAATATAAAATCTCCTAATTAATTTTATGAACTAAGATTTTTGGAGAACACTTACCAATGCTTCTAGAAGTGCTTGAGAGTGTGATATTTCTGGAAACATTCCCCTTTGTGAAGTGGCATTATACAGAACTTGCAATGTAGACAGTCATACTCCTTTTTTTGTGAACTGTGCAAACACGGCACTGCCTAGAAGGATGCTTCCCCTTGGAATGTTCACTCTTCACAATTTTCACCAGGGTATGTTTCTGCATATCACCCGAGAGTCGCCCAGGGGTGTCCACATGAGGCCTGCGTGGGTTCGGAGTTGTTGGACCTGGTCGCACTAAGTCTGTGCCTGACTCTGGTTCTGCTGCCACCATCTGGTCTGTAGTCCAGGCCTTTGTCACATTCATCAGAAATGCTTTGTATTTCAATTTGGAATCAGGATTTAGATTTTTGTAAACCGAAAATGAATTGAAAATGGCACAATTTATAAGCCACAAGGCAACTTTCTTTCTCCACTTTATTATTTTCCTAGGAAGAGAATAATAGGCCAAGTATTGATCGGCTGTATCAACTCCCTTCATGAACATATTGTAACGTGTTTCGTTACAGAAGACGACGTAGAGATGGTTAATTGGTTTATTTAACAATCTACAAATAACGGCTACAGTTACTTATAACAATATTACGGGTTTCCACACTTTACAAACCCTACAACAAAATCTCTTAACACTATCTTCAAGAGTCTTCACGTATTAATAACGCGGGAGCTATACAAGTCTCCCTGAAATACACACTCCGGGGATAACTGTACTACAGCACTCACTATGTCTGGAAAGCACACAATAAGTCTTCCGCTCGCTGACTTCTTAGTTATCGCACACTCGCAGGCTGCTATGTTTCGACTCGGCGACTGTTACTTTATAACTGACTCGCAGCCGTTGTGCAGCTCACTTATATAGCTGCAGTGCTTGCTTGTTGCGTAATGAGTGTCACGTCATCCTGTTACGTCACTGCTGTTGACTCGCATTGCATAGTTACCAGGTTGCGGGGGCTCGGCTATCTTCGGTTCCGCTCGGCTCTCTTTGGCTCCGCTCGTGACATCATCGCACGTTGCATAGCTACCAGGATGCGGGGTGTTTACTCGCCTATTACGCGAGCGCTACGTTACCGCTACGTGCAGCTGGGGAGGTAGGGG